TTACATTCTAATAAGAGAGGATGGTAAAGGGAGGAAGAGAAAGATAAGACTGTCGAATAGGATGGGAAGTGGCACTCTTGATTGCTTAAAGGCTACTTTGTGTCACATCTTAGTACCTCTGAAGTTGGGGCGTATCTTCAGTAGATGATACCTTAGTGCTGTGTCCTAGATGCATTGGCTGGTTTTCTGGGGGCGCATGGAACAATGGTGCATCTTACAGCCCGTAGCATGTTAGATGAAGTGTACAGACTGAATGGTGGGCCCTTGTCACTGTCTCACTGAGTTTTCGGCACTTTTAGCATTGGGTACGTGTGCAGGCCCTGTGATTTTAACCTGGATAACGCTGTTTTCATTGGCCAGTTGGAAGACATGAAGAAATGCTCCCCTTCATCTAGTGCTACAGTTCACGCAGGAAAGAGGGAATAGATGCTTGAGTCTTTTGCATTATGAAAGAATGCAGGCCTCCCCAGAAAATTGGAGTGTTTCAGCTTGTAAAAGAAAAATCCACCTGGCCTGGCTGAAAGAATGTTACATCCCATTTGGAGCTTGGAATGTTTTTTGGGAAAAGATCAGCTTGCTTCTACAGGAAAGGCTTCAGGAGATGAGCTTGGAGGGACCCGCTGCCTCCCCCTCATTTAAATTAGGGGCCAAGATGATTGAAAAGCTGTTGCTTCTCTTCTGTGTCATTTAGGGTATTTTCACTCAAGTTGAAGAAGTGCCACCAACCCCTGATACTCATGGGGACTAGGCTGATTGGGGAGAGTTAGTGATAGTGGGTGAACTTATTTGGTAGAGTTTTACTGAGTTCACACCCCCTTTTGTTGCTTTGTCTGCAGTGAGCTTGGAGGGCAGGCTTCCACAGGAACGCCCTGGGGCTGTTTGCCTGAGCTGTGCTGTCTGTCAACGCATGTAAGCTAAACAGTCGAGTGGACTCTGACTCACGGCAACCCCATGGGTGTCAGAGTACAACTGTGCTCCACAGGGTTTTCAGTGGCTGATTTTTCAGAAGCAGTTCACCAGGTCTTTCTTCTGACACGCCTCTGGGTAGACTTGAACTTCCGACCTTTGAGTTAGCAGCCCAGCACAGTAACCTTTGCACTACACAGGGACTTCCGAGTAAGCTAACGGGTTGGTCTCACCGTCAGCACCACAGCTGGAAGAGGATGCACGGGCACGGGGCTCTTCAGCTGGAACCCAGACAAGCTGGAAGGGCCTCCCTGTCCTGCCACCAGCGCCCCCCTACTCGGGAGACCTGTGGCTACCCCTTTCTCAGCACACAGACATGCTGGAGGCGGCTGTGAGGGGGCCATGAGGGGCGTGTGGACTTGTGCAAGCTTCCACTGGCTTTCCAGTCACTTTGGAGATTTATCACGCTCTGGGGACCCATTGTGTCTGGGGGTGGAAACAGAGGAGGTGCAAGATGAGTGGATTTCCTGAGGGAAAGGGAATTTCCTCTTACATAAGCCAACAGGGACTTTTCTCTGTGGGGTGGGGTGCCCTGCATTCCAGAGGGGCCTGGGGAGCTTCCTCCACCTGAGCTAAGGCCAAGTCATCTCACAGCGTTTTCCTGGGGCATCTGCTCTGCTTTCGGCCACCAATAATTCACCACAGTGAATATCGCCAGGGTTGCTGTTATTCAGGCTTTGATTTTGTGAGGCAAACCATCTCCAGAGGTTTCAATCTCCCAGTCCAGGG